CCTTCAATAACTTGAGTGTTTTTGAACAAACTTACCCTATTTAGACAAATTCTATGTCGTTTATTTTTTTGTAACGTTATTTGCCACAAAATATAAACTTAGTGCTCGAGTATTAAATGTGCTTTACTGGAGAGAGAGTGGGAAAGAATGCATGTTATGTCAGTCTTGGATAAACTTATTAAAATATTAAATATTTTCCTTCAATAAATTCTAGCAATGTGTATATTGGATGAAGTAAATATACCGTGTATATGGACCCTTATTTCAAATCGATTGGGCCAATGTAGAAATGATTTTCAGGAGGTTTGAATTCCATGATGTACTGTATTAAACAACCTGGTAAGATTTGGGGAAATTTTTCTTTATAACTATTGATTTGGGTGAATTGTTTGATTATAGGGGTTTCACCCTATACTTTAGAAATCTCCTATTTTGTCATTTATGTCAATAATCTAAATATACGAAACTCAGAAGGGTACATGAGGAGGCTGAAAAATGAAACTTTTCAATGGCCTGCTTGCAGTCTTGGACTTCAATTACCCCAGCTCACACTTTTATTTATTCTAATTTATTGACTCCAGTTATTATATCAGGGAGTTAGGGAGTTTCGCAGTGTTCTGGCCAACAATCACTCAGGTAAAAATTGGCTATTCAATTCGTAGCTGTTTGTGAGATATTGCTGTGTGCAAATTGGCTGCCACATTTGCCTATAAAACACAGTCACCGTTTCACGGTAAAATCTTGTGAAGCACTTTGAGTTATCTCATCGAGATGATAACACACTCTATCAAATAAAAAGATTACTACTGTATTATTGAGATATAGAAAGTCCATAAACAATAATAATTTTATATCATACTCATCACACAGTATTTATAAAAGCCCAACAGTGTTCATATGTGGCCAATCCAAAGTGTTGATCATAAAATCAGATTTTTACCAAAATGTTCTGATTGCTCCAAAAGTTTAAATTTATTACTCTCCGAAGAAGTTTTCCTTCTACCAATTTGCATCTAACATTTTTCAAGTGCCTGGATTGATTTCAAATCGCATTCCCACCCTTGTAGAACAATAATTATAACTGAATGGTGTAAATGTGGGCTTTGTCTCACGCTAACTACTTCCAGTCAGATAAATGTTCTTTGTTCCTCTGTGTTACCGTCTACACACAGTGATCTACTGCACTAAATACTGATGTAGGGCTCTTTGCATATGAATGATTTGGTTGCAAAGTGAAACAATAAAGATGCAAATGAGAATAAACAAATGTTGCATTTTCTCCTAAAATAGGCCAATTTTCATGCCTTGGAAAATAATGTTGTATCCATTACTAACGGACAGCAACTCACTGACTTCAGAGTTTCCGAGATGTACTGCAGAGGGTTCTGGGAGACGATATGTTTCAAAAACATTTTGTGTTCAAACAGCTTTTATTCTAAGAGGGGAAATTAACTTAGAAAATCACTTCCCTGTTAAGGAGACTTGCTCCAATCAATCTGCTGCATATTTTGTCTGAAGTGTGGAGTGGTTCAGATAGCTGAGAAAGAGCATGAGGAGGTTCGGCTATTCTACACTATGTTGTGGGACATTAAATTCAGGGATTAAATAGGAAACACACCACAAAGGGATGTTAATTGATAACTGAAAAATGTAGGTCATGAATATCACTTGTGACCTTTAGCAAGCAAGGCTCATTATAAAACATCTACTTACACATTCCCATTATCTAACAACAAGAATGAATTTAGCACCAAGGGAGGATGACATGCACAATAAACAATCCGACACTCAGGTATTTCCAAACAGAAAAACAAAGTCATGAACATTCTTCACAACCAAATTACCCAACAAGGAATGATCCCAGGCCTACGATCCAGCCTCATTTACAAAACTTA